AGCACCGGGTCTCGCACAAAGGATCGAGCCTCGGCATTGAAAGCTGTCGTGGCTTCTCACGGGGGTTTCATCCAGCTCAAAGAAAAACATTGCCGTCGCGAGAACTGCCCGAACGAGCGGATCTGGGACGGCGAATTTCATCTTTAGCATCTTTTCCAATGAATTGATATCATCTAACTCGGGTATTGGACCATGGATCTCATGATCAAGTCGAAAAACATCGGGCTTTGAATGATGAGGAAGATAATTGAGTGCTTCGAAATATCCTTGTTTCCCGTCCATCGAGGGGGAGAACATGAAGGCCCGGAGAAGGCGCGGGAGAGCACCCTCCCGTAGTCTACTACAACAGCCTGAGGAGGGATCTTGGACAGAAGACGACCACCCGGTTCCGACTGAAAGAAGGAGATCATGCCTTTCTGCCGCAGGCCAAACCATACTTGACTCGCGCAGAGCAATTGACAACGGATTGTTTGCACGCACTCCGCCATCTTGTAGCGGCCCTAGACCAGGTAACACTTTCGTCGAGAAATAACTCAAGATTGTCAGCTTGACGTGTTTAGAACACAACGGAAAGGGTAACTTACAAGGGTGCTGCAACGCTGGAGATTGTTCTGCCATATTATAAATAGTATTAGCAATGTCTACTATCGCCAATTTGAATGCGCACCTCCCATACGGAATTGGACTTACATTTCTATCAAATTCAGGTCCTCTTGATTGTCGTGGGGAGTCACAAAGTGATAGGCAGCAGGAGCTGCATTCCGACCCACTCCTCGATAGTTTGCCATCACGCATGCCTTTCCATCGGAGGTACGACTTGCTACAACAGCCACTCGACAGCCTGAGGGGCTCATGGTAGGAACATCAAAGACTCGACGACCAGGATTGATGGCTTCTTGTAAAGTTTCCGACAATCTTATCGAATCGTAGAGCCCGTGGGAGGTCAGATTGAATGCAGAGGCCAGCCAATGGGCGTAGCGAAGAATCGGATGCCTGTATTCACGACGGAATATCTTTCGAGACAGATCGGGGAATTTGAGGAAACAGCTGGTGGCTGAACTACCGTTGATGAAGATGTCAATTGCCGCCATTGCACCTAGAGGCAAGTGGTTGTAAGCTTTTAAGCATAGAAGCCAGTTCCTCCACCGGGGTCATACCTACCTACACTCGTTCCGGCGCACAAGTCCGGCAGCAATGCAATGGGTATACCAATGCGTTTTTCCAATGCACAGAGAAGTCCCAACTGTATGAGGCCGCGGACACCTCCTCCGTCTAGGCTGAGAATAACGGGGCGCTTTGTCGGAGGAATTTGACGGATGGTCATGTTGCACTTGCGTTCACAAATCGGACATTGGACAATTTCTACTTGATACGTGCTGGAGGGTTCAAAATTCCCAAATATCGCCACACAGGTGTCACACAATGCGTGTGTACATGGTAACATATGCTCTGGAGGCCGAAACAAGCAAACAAAGCAGGTGGTAGTGGAATATAGGTTTCCTCCCTGACGATGAAATTGGCCAAGTGCATCTTTGCGGATAGATGAGGAAGTTCGGTTGACGCTAAATTCCGCGAACCTTTCAACAAAGCGCGATCGAATACGTTCGGTGAGACTCCCAAAAGGATAAGCGTTCCAGATATCTGTACAATGAGCCTCGTATAGGACGGTGAAGACTACCGAGGGAGGGAATCCTAAAATCGTTAGCGTTGGTATTTAGTTGGGGACTGTCAGCCCTACCGTGCATGCCCGGTGGATAAGAATCCATCAGAAAAGCCGAAGCGACAACTTCGATCAATCCTTCTGGAACAGTACTATGGTTGACAGAGGACATCGCGCTGTGCAAAAGCTCGTGCAGGAATTCATCTTTCTTCTCGGTTTTGGGGAACCCTATGCGAGCTTGAGCCAGCAGATCTAATGGCGATGCTTTCCAGAGCTGGCCATTGGCTGGAACACTTGCGCCCCAGAATGAGCTCAGATGAAATGCAGAAAACCGACCACAGACTATCTCATCTTCGGCGTGGATTGACTGCAGCTTCTCGGATATAAGGGCCCACAACGGCTCAAAAGCGATCGTGTCAGAAAGACTGGATCTTGAACTCAGATCTAGGAATGTGATCCTCCCTCCCTCGACTATCTGACGCAGTTTTTCATATCTTGGTGAGGCGATCGCTGGCCCGTGAATGTTCGTATTGATTATAATGATCACCTCGGGTGAAGATCGAATAGCTTGGCTCCCGACTTGCAGCTGCCTATGTGGTTGCTGGAGCAAACCTTGCGTGGCTTTGAGATCGGATTCGGATTCGACAAACAAGCACAAGACCCGAGTCCATGGTAGGACGAGCTGTCTTTTTGTTTCTTCCTGTATTGATTCAGCGGAATACAAGTCTCCCGCCTTCGAGATTGCATATTTTCGATGCTTGGTGGTCGCGTGTCTGAGCCATTTGGTATCGCCAGTACTCTGCTGTAAGCATAGATTGCTCTCAGCAATCATGAGAGGACTATCCGTATTGATAGCCTTATGGTCAATATGTAGGCGGATCAGCCCATTAGCACCCTTGCGGGTGACATTATTTTGTGGAAGGAAAGATCGTAGAGCTCTGATTCGGCTTTTATGACCTGCGAAGTAAATTAAATCCGGATATTGGCGTTCAGGAAACGGCATCCCCTTCACAAGCTCTCCTAGCCGGTCCGTATCAACTAAAGTCCAATCCTCTCCTTCTCTGACAATATCTAGCCATGCTGCCATCGCGGGTGGTAGCTGCTTCGGGTTAAGAAATGAAGACCACAATGCTAGAACGCTTTTATATCTGAAAGTTTGTTCTAATTCCGATACCGGGACCTCATCTTTATTATTTTTTTTTTCCAGAAATTAGCCTCAAAAAGTAGTAACAGTTGTGCATTTCTCAAAAATCCCCTAAGATTTACTCCGAGAAGCACACATTATGGAGTAATGATCATCATTATGAGGAAAGCATTACAAATACTACCTCTGTCGGTTTCTTTATTGGGTTTTGATACTCAACAAATAAGCTTTGAACTCGAAGGTATCCCTTAACAGTGACTGAAAGTGTATAAATACCTCATACAGTATTGGATTTGGACAGGTAGGATTTTACTTATTGGCAAAACTCAGAAAGCATGTCTACCAACTCCCAAGCCCCGTTGATGCTGCCTCCAGCCCGAATTTATGCAAGAGAGAATGCCACCTTGACCAGAGAGAATACGGACGGTCCCAGCAATGACAAAGAGGATCAATACTTAGGAATGCTAAAGGAAGAGGACCAAATGGACGCAACCTACAACATCACAGCTAGTGCGGCCAACTGGGCGCTTCTAGCCGGGTACCTTGTCATCCCAGGTACCTTCGCATCACTACAGACATCCAAGGAAATTGAACATGTTTTGACATCTAACAAAACGGGCCGCGTTATATTCCACACCATTCAAAATCCACCACTGCTCGGGATTGCCTGTTTGTTTCTTGCAAGCGGCATAGCAGCAATGCTGTGGCTACTTCACTTTCCGCACCTAAGGGGAAACTACGTGTGGCTGACGAACAAGATTTTCATGTAAGTAAGACTTGGGTGTTGTATTGGCCAGAAGGTAGGAAGGGCTACTAACTCCTATAACAGGCCAGTAACTTTAAACGCCGGTGCGGGACTGCTTACCACCTTGATCAATGTTTTCGCATCAAATCGAGGGGTTTGGTCGGTGATGGCTATAGTAACAACTGTTGTCACTGGGGCAACATTTATTATCTTTTTGGCTGTTTTGCTAGTTTACAAGCTCTATAAACTACCCCCGTTGAACGGGCAAAGAATTGGTCTCCAAAATCTGCCACCCGGCCGCACGGAAGATTCCTAACCATCTGCAGCGGGTAATGGTAAAAGCTGAAGAGTGTACCATTATTGTACTGCCAGTGCTCTTGGAGTTTCATGCGGTGCAGGGGACGATGAGAATGAATGAAGGTTGGAGTTTAAAACAAACGAGAATGTGGAAATTCTTCCGGGCCTTTATCACGCGTTTTGTCCAGACTAATATATGGATTAAATATATTCTCTCGGTAGTGAAGAAATTTGCAATTGATATTGCGGAGTTTTTTTTTTACAATGTAAAGCATGGCAGCACCGTAGAAACCAGGATTGTCTATTGCAGTCGCCTGACAGGGTAGCTTGAGGCAATTTCTCAACTACAGTAATTATTTACGATCTCACAGTAGATATGTACCCATCGAGCTGCTTGGGCTTCACACGCTTGCCCATAACCGATAAATATATGACATCATTGTCATACTTTGAAGAGGAAATGTTGCCTGTACAGTATATCAATCTCTTCACATTTAAATACCAACATGCTTTACAGAAACTCACCGCTAGACCGGCAGAATATATCTCTTTTTCGCGTCTCCCTCCCCGGCTCTTTCTATACGCCTGTTTGGTAAAGACACATCTGCTCTCTACAAACGGTCAAGGTGGTCCCAGTCTGAGTGTACTAACTGGATCGCATCAATAGATGACCCAAATCACTGAACTTTATTTATCAAATCTGTGAACCTACTGAAAGATGGTTGCCGAGTAAAACACATACATAGCGCTGGTAACCCTGTCTTATCTTGTCAAAACTTTCACTGAATTGAGGCACTAAGCCAAATTATGCTTTTCATCAACTTCTTGAGATTGAACAATATTTTTCCGAACCTACAATTCTTTAATACTGAATTTCCTCGAAGTGATACTAAGTGGATAGAAGATGTAGTTGATGGAATAAAGTTCACAGAGGATAGTCGTTCGATTCCATTTTTGAGTCATGTACTTGCATCATACTCAAAGGCTGTTTGAGTCTCTATTTTGATGAAAAATTATGCATAGCTGAAAAGCGTTCCGATGTCTCTTTTACGTGATTCAAATCTTAGATCAGCGGTATTTAGAAAGAATATAAATAGGCCTGGCTGAGTCCCCCATGCATTAACCTTAAGATATTTCACAATCAGTCATTCAAAATGTCTCATCGTCATTTTAAAGGCCCGAAGAATGGCATTTGCAAAGCTCAATCAGCGATTAGAAGCGATAAGAAACTTTCCAAACTCGCAGAACAGGGGCTTTCGGCACTGGAGGATACCATTCCTTGGCCCAAGGAAGATAGTTGTACGCAACAAGCTGTATCTTTCGGTGGGACAGGCAAAGTTGCGAATCACGAAGACACCCCACGCCATCATATGAGTACCTCAGATGAGCAATATCCCGAGCCCAAAAAGCAGACTAAGATACTACTCAAAGAGCTCGAATGCAATGATGATCCTGCCGAGGCACAAAATCTCGAAGGGAATTCTTTCTGGCACAACATGAGCAAGTGATGGAGTCAAAATTATTCTTTTGAATCAATCTCTTATTCTTCTAAGCTGTACTGGCCCAATACAAGTGACACGTGACTTTTCCAGAATTGTGGTTGAGCAAGTCATATATTTGCGATTCTTCAAGTTTCCAGCAAAATTACAGACAATGAAGCTTTATACTTATCTTGTGAAAGTGCTTATTTTCAATTAAAAAAGAATTTTGGTAATTTTAATGAAGAGATCTTCACTATAAAACACTACCACAAGCCCAAAGCCTCAGTGTCGTTGTTAGAAAAACAGAGAATACTCTCAAGCTGAATGAAGTCTCTCAGGGTAAACTTTGTTAAATTCAATGATTGATGTAGACGCAGCGCAATTAGGCTCTCTTTATGCTCTTCGCTGTGTGCTATCTTACTCTACATCCAACAGGGCTTCAGAGAAAGAAAAATGGACTGACTTCTTGGCGGAACGTAGGTCATGGCTTTGCCGCTTTAATAGGAACAAGTAGTTTTATGGCAAATATAGGAGGAAAGATAATCACGACAGAAAGATGCTCTTATGTTAGCTCATGGACCATAAAGAATGAAGTAATGCGGCCGACTGCAATCTTGGAGTATCACATTTGAGGCACATATTCCTGCCTTGCAGCCCACCTGCCGAGATTCCTTTATCAGCCCTCGGATTCTCCCTCTCCAATGGGTCTATGCCCCCCTTAATAGTTCTATTTCGTCGAGTCTGGCAAGCTCTTGTGAATTGGGTTGGGATATTGTAATCTCTTGAAAATAGACAGTGAGCACATTGCAATAGATTAATTTCTAACAAAATGTGAAGTATATAAGACTCACTAGTTGATCTTGTGAAAGTGGCCAACCTTCCAAAGTCGTCGCCAGTGTGTAAATTTGGCCAGAACCTTTCATCCGAATGCTCAGATGAATATCAGCAGCACATTCAGAACTGTATTCGGACAGCTTTTTGAAAATTGTTTCCCTTCTTCTTCGAGCTTTCTGACCAGATGCACTTCTGGGTTTCGCAATTGAGCGCGGGGAATCATCCATTATGAAAGAAAGTTTGAAAAAGGATCAATCGCGACAGATTAATATCGACTTAATATCTGACATGTCCTATTGTTTAAGTAAGCGTTACGAAATGAATGAAAATTCAATTAAAGAAAGTACGAGTGAGAGATCAAGAAGGAACAAAGTGAAGATTTTCTGTTAGGTGAGCGACCGCCTTTCATCACAGTTGGTCGAGGAGTATCGGTTTCGGTGAATCTTAAACGTTTCAGCAAACGGACGGACACCATCTGTTCAACTTCAACTCCATCAGCTAGAATCATGCAGGAGAGCGCACATAGTATCCAATATGAAATTACACGGTGGTAATTAGAGTCACATTATTGTTTCAGCTACAGCGTAAGATTCATTCTCGCATAGTATACCTCCACCTGAAGAAATTGAGCCCAATTCATAGTATCACAAAAACACCACAATCAGTTGGCAGCCTCACATTAGACCAATAAGCTTCGTGCGATGTAAGGAAAATAATTGCTTTAACACATGCAGTGAGCAAGGCACTCGCAGTTATTTATTCGAGGTCCAGTGATGGGTCTCGTTTAGCTGGCGATATTTTCTGCATATTTAAAAAGCTTGGTTCAGTTCCCATACATATGTTTCAAACGTAAAATTTGTCCTCGAATGCCATTGCATTCCGATTGCTACTATGAAGCTGTCTGTGTGGAACATTCTGCTATTTGGGACACCAATTTGGCTAGTTCGTTCCCACCTCACCATGACGTCACCTGAACCATATGGCAAGGATACCCTGAATAATTCGCCATTGGCTGCTGATGGTAGTGATTTTCCTTGCAAGCTTCGCCAAGGCAGTTTTCAAGCTCCTTCGCATGAAAATGTCTATCATATCGGAGATAACCAGACAGTCCGCCTTATAGGGAGTGCAACACATGGCGGCGGGTCTTGTCAAATCAGTCTCACAACTGATCTCGAACCGAGTAAAAATTCAAAGTGGAATGTTATCAAGTCATTTGAAGGTGGCTGTCCCTCAGATGTATCACGGAACCTCAATGGTATGTGGAACACTGACCATGATCTTGAACTTCCTTTCACGATTCCAGAAGGTATTCAACCAGGAAAATACACCTTAGCTTGGACTTGGTTCAACAAACTCGGAAACCGTGAAATGTACATGAACTGTGCCCCAATCACAGTGACCAATGCGCCACTAGATCCTCCGTCCAGAAATGTGGCGGATGCCCCGGCTTTCCCCTCCATGTTTGTTGCAAATATCAACGGCTGCATGACGACGGAGGGTGTGGATATTAGTTTTCCCGAGCCGGGAAATTTTGTGGAATCCAAGAGACAGGTAGAGAAGCGCCCTGAAGAAAGTGGACCAGTATGCGTTGGGTTCCCTCGCTTTGGTGGCTCCGCAGCTTCGGAAAGCGCCAAGCCGGTTATGGCAACAGCTTATATCCCTAAGACCAACAGTGGTCCAACTTCCAAATTTTGCAAATGTGGCTGCCATAGTTTGTATCCTACGATCGCCGCCCGAAGCCGCAAATCGACTTCATAGGGTGTCGAGAACGCGGGAATTATAATTTGACGAGGAACAAGCAATTCTCCTGTGATATTTAGGCGAGTTGATTTTATGTCATTTTTTGTCAGGATAAAGAATTGATGTACTGGCTAGTACTGAACATGTCCAATAGAAACATATGATTGATTGATTAAAGATGAGAGTGGTTGAACACTCGTGAGAGTCTGTATCATCTAGTTTCGGTGTGTTACGACACCATACTCCGAGTCTACACCGAATACCACACGAATACGTGGGGAATTGGGCGGACGATGAACATCCCACCCAAAAGCGTCTTAGTGGTATTTGACCACTCTTTCCGCTCGACATTTTTCAATAGAAAGGGCCTTTCTGTGGAACTCCATAAATGAATACGAAAACCCTCAGTCCAACGCTACCATGATTATCGTGTCCGAATTTCGACATTGGCCAACGTTTTACGGAAGACGGGGAGGGTTACCATTTCACAATATAACATCCGAAAGTATGGATTAATGATATTGGACCAAACATTAGCTGCATTGATACAGTACCAAGACGTAATTTACGAAACCCATCACGGGCAGTGTCAAGAGCGAAAAAGCGACTTACACTTATGCAGTACAGTAAATGTATACAGTACCAACATCACTCTCTCTGTAGTAAATATTGGATAAACTATAACCCTGATGACATATACATATGTTATATTACTTTTAGGTAGCTATGAGGTTCCAGCTTCGGTTATCTGACCCGATAACCAGGAGATGGCTGGCTCCGAGACTACTACATTCGCTAGACTAAGACCAACCACTCAATCTCAAACATCCAGTCATATCCTTCTTTTCTGTCAGACTTCATTCAGGTATATCATATTCAAGATCCTTCAATGGCGATAAATTGAAATGAATGTCACCAGCCGATAAACCCACATTTTCAGGATTTGCGCCAAGCTTTACGAGCATCGCCGTATGCTGATTCGTATTCTCATGATCATATCTTAATGCCCTGTCTATCTGCTCCTGACTAGCATGTGGTATGATATTCTCCAGGAGCTGTTGCTTCATCTCACTTTCGCCGTTCATTATGTGTTCCAGGACAGAATGACCAACACTGTCTCGAGCAGTGACGTCCGCGCCATGTCTAATCAAGCTCTCAATTATCTCTCTATATCCCAAGTAGCCCGCTTCAATGAGTGGTGTATACCCGAGCAAGCCTCTCCGGTTCACGTTTGTTCCGATAAGGACTAGTGCATTAAGCATGTCCACGGAGCGGGTAGATATTGCATATGTCATCGCGGTGTGGCCCATACGGTCGAGCTGGCTGACATAGTCAGCTTGCTCTGACTTGGACATTTCTTTTAAAATCCGATGGACGACGTTGAAGACCTGCGGAGCCCTTCTTAAGATGGCAACATGTAATATATTCATGCTTAATTTATCCGTATCGAATACAGCATGCGGGCTTCGTTGTAGATAAAAGCCACCGATTCCTTGAAATCCTCGAAGAACACAGCTGTGTGAGACTGGCCATTCAGACTCGGCACATGTAGATATAATGGACCCCATGATTCTCTCCGGACATTCAATATCTTCGAAGATGTTCGTCAGGATACAAATATCTCTTAGTATTGGTTGCTCACACTGTATCGAGCTTTGAACAATCTTGTATAGCCAAGACCTTGGCCACTGATTTCCGTTGAACAGTATAGCTAGAGCATTTAGATGTCGAAGCGTGGGGCCCACCTTGTTCTTGAGAAAATCGAGCGAGGCAATAAAAAAGTCCCATCTGCAGAACACAAACGAGATCGTGTCCTCAAGTGACAGGAAGTCCAGTATGTCGTATAATAACTCAGGAGGGAGCGAAAGAATGGCACTGGTTATATCGCTTAACCGATCGTTACTAGACTTTAGTTGCTGTTCCATCTTCGACACTCTGGTTTTCAAAGGCTTAACCCGAACAAGCTGTTGATGTTGATGTCGATGAAATTTCTCTGGCGTGGGGCTCAGAGGTTTTGATATTAAAAAGGGTTGAAAAGTACTAGTTATGGCTTCTGAATATCCTTCGTATTCAAATTTGATGTCGACAAGGAAATTGAGTATGTTATGTAAGCGTATGTGATGCTATCTCGATATTAGTGAGCTGTGAGCATCCGCCCTCATTTATACTTAACATATCAGATTTGTGTCAACAATATGAATGATGCATTTGAAGTCCAAAGATATCTGCGGCAAAGAAATAAATTTTGCTCTGATTCCTTCTTCCAATTTCGTCAAACATCTATGAACTTGATTCATGATATTCTTTATGCTGTCAATCCACCCTTCAGGTTAGGCTCAAATTAATAAAAGAGGCATATATGATGGCTCACTGTAACTATTTGAGAGAATCCTTCTTGGGATATTAGTTACCCTTGGTTAAGTAGACGAGCTAGCCCGGCCTAATCGGAGATATATGGGCTAGGAATCGGTCTGTGATCTACCCCCGCCTCCCCTTATTTTAAGAGTGGAATATACAGCGGATTGGGCCTTGCCTAATATTATTCATAAAAGTCTCCCTCATATAGGCCTGCGATAGCTCTGGGTAGACTGGTTTTAGCGGAATAATTAAGACCATATTGTAGTCCTCAAATCCACAGAGCTGTACGAATCCTTCTCTCAGCCGAATTGTCTTAGCTTGCGAAAAAGAATACCAGGAGAGTAAGCCGCGGGATTTCGGCAAACAAGTATGCCAGAAAAACTTGTAGAAAAGACGAAAAGACGACGTGTATTGAGGTGTGTTAGCTTGATCGAAGGCCGGTCTCATGCAAGATCGCTCAGAGGAAACACTTCTCGTATCGCAGGGGATACCCAGGGTATGCTCACACATCAGCTCTATAGCTAGGGCCTATGAAACACTGCAGTGGGAATTTTTCAATCATCATCAGCTTCAACAATACCCTTTGTCGCAAAACAAGAGGCACTTGAGCATTTCAAGTCATAGAGCTTTGTACGGGGTCCATTCTCAGTCATTCCTCTAAAATACACTTCTTACCTCCATATACTTATTCCAGTAGACATTCATCATGCATAGGTCAATGGAAGGATGGGTAATAAAAGTCCTACGTGACTCGACTCGACTCGACTCAGGAAGCCTAGAGCTAACGATATCTACATCAATGCCCATTTCTTTATTACCGCGTTGCTGCTTGAGCTTAAATATTTTCTCCTTGTTTCATTCCTCTTTTATCGTCGAGCAAGGCAAAGAAGGAGGATGCTGGACAAGCGTTGCTGCGGAAGAGGAACATCGTTCGAGCATTTCAGCGGCTTTGGCGAGGAATCATTTCCGATCCCTGAAAATTGACGCTTAATCCTCAATATAGGTTGCTCTCTGTCATACTTTTATTTCAATTTCTTGAGAATTTTATCATATTCTTTCTTTGTGGTTCCTGCCAGCTCATGGGTCAATTTTCTGTAGGTTTCATATCTAGGTGTTCTTTGTGCTTTGACCGGGGCTTTGAAAGGGTCGAACGATCTCATCACGCTGGCGTATCAATTTTCTAACCACTTTCAGCTGATTTAGAGAGAATGTTTGCTCGGTAGTCGGCCTCTGTGGACGATTTAGATCCACAGTGCGACTCATTCGGCAGGCTGCACGCATAAGATCACCCTCCGGATCAAGGCCGTGAATTATCGTAGGCAATCTATTTGAGATTCTTTCACCAAGGTAAAGTTCCAGGAAGGTTCTGATATCGGCATGATGCATGACAAGAATGTGTCTTGAATCATTCATAGAACCTAAAATTAATTTAGCCTGTTGCAACTGCAGACCCAACAAGAGCTCTTATCACTGCTATCTAGAGCGGTTACGGATCCATAGCATAGACTATATGGAAGTGTCGCCTTCCGTATACTTGTATTCTCTCCCATCTTCTCGACCCATGGTTCCAAGGTTGAGCAAGGAAGAAGTTTAGCAGGAGAGATGCCAGTCCCGTTCAAGGTCTTCTCCGACGTCCGTAATACAGGGACATCATCCATTCCGGGTTCGATTTGTAGTTTTAGCCCACTACACTCTTCGCGAATTTGGATCTGGGGAAGCTGACTTGCAGAAGCAAGTACTTCTTTGCCGTCAACGCGGTCAAATGCACGATCGGCGAATAGACGGTCTAACAAAAATACATGAGGACTGAGAACCAACGAAGGATTGAAGATGATTTCTGGTAGAATATAGTTGTTCCTGGGAAGGTTTTAGCAAGAGTCAAGAATGTAGTCTTGTGTACTCACGCGTCCTTGGCACCCAGCCAGTCCTTCGTGAACTCGAAAGTAAATTCAATCACAATGCGATGTGGGCCACCTCGTGGATCGCGTAGGAGGCTTACTTGAATATGAGGGTATCGCAGATTAAGTATGGCCTGCGGTCGGTTTGTTGTGAGACGTGCGAGCTGCAAGAAAAGTCCAAGCTCAATGCGGTGGCGGCCATGCAGAGACTTTTTCTCTGTTGTGCTGATGGTGGTTTCCACGACTTTAACCAAATCCTGAACATTCATAGGCGACTTATCCCTCATTTTTCCGCCAATCTATACTTCTGGGCCAATCTTCGAGTGACCTATTTTCGACAGTGTCAGTGCCACACAGCTGAGATGAGAGACGATGGGAGCTCATACTCCCCGAATCTGACAATTCATTTGGTTATTAACTTTTTTATAGGTGGAACTTTCCTCAACTAGTCGAGTTACCTTCCAAAACGTGTCCAAAGAGCTTTTACGCTTAATACCTGGAAGTCTTCTTCCATTCTTGCTGCATCGTAGATTGAGAATCCATTCGAGGAAATTGTATATTATCGGAGTGGTTATAAGATAGTATTCCTCACCAGGGTTCTTCCGAATGAGACAGCAGAACTTTATGTTTGCATTGGCCAGCTGGGGAATGGGGGTTAAGACAGGATTACAAGTAGCACTCACTGGTACCATTTTTCTTCAACGCGGTGGGGAAGGGCCGTGTTGCCTTTGTCGTAGTCTTCTTGTTTGTCAGTTACCTCGTCGAAATTACTGAGTTGCTGAATGTAGTACCCCGGCGGGTGCTCGTTGACTGCGAAGAGTAGTATAGCGTCACAAGCATGCTCCGGCTGAGCTGCATTCTCCTCGGACTCGGCAAAATCTGTTTCAGATACGCTATCAACGTCACTGTCTGTTACAGGGTAGTTAAACCCACTTCGTGACGGGCTGTTGCGACTGGGACATCGACGGCGCATCATTTGATATTCCTATCGTCAGTATACAAGAACAAACAATTTGCAGATGGGACCGAGGTGAACGTTTGAAATGTAAAGCAGTAGTAGACCTTGGATGAGCGAGATTTGTGAGACAGAAATCTATGCCGTGGCGAGGACAAACGAGAAAAATCTTCTTATCGATTCCCGCAGAAATTTTCAAGAAAACGAATGGTACCGAAGCCAGGGGCCTGAAGGTATTCCGAAATACAGAAGGATGGGGGCGCTGGAGTGGATCCGACGGAACGAATGAGAGGCTACTACGGCGCCGCCGCGCTTCGGGTATTCCCCAACGTGACGGTGAGTGGGTGAGTGGGTGCGTGGTTTATAGTCAAAGTGAGTGGCGGGAAATTTGGCAAATGGCCGACCGAGAAACGCTCTGCAACCATTGTCGGCTGCCTACTTGCTGCCATCGAGTTTGATATTCTGCAAACTCGTTGTATGCTTCTTCACATTTAAAACGTGACTTAAGGAGATCTCGACTCGGCATGAAATTTCTAATAGGTCATATACCCTTGCTTGATACGAAAATATTGAATGTACAGAAAATAGACACAAAGAACGAACATCACTTGAAGTTTATATCAAAGCTCATTGAAAGATTTCGGAGCAGGAAGTGTAACCAATCTCGAATCGCAAAAGAAGAAACACACTCTATAACCTCTTGAAAGCCTAGCTAGTGATTTTAAAGTAATACAAGCTTGCTGCTCAGGGCAAGGGCAGCCCAAGAACCGATAGAGGTAAGCAAGAAACAATTCCGTGTGCACCTTGCGCATGGTTCAGTAGCGCTGATTTAGACACCAGTTGCTCTCCACAAATCGTGCACTCGTGTTGCATATCGCTTGAGTACGGTTTGATATGTTTGTTCACGAAGTGTCGGCTGAGAGACCCTGAGTTCTTGAACATCCGCAGTCGTTCAATTTCCGGCAGCATTGGATTACCAAGGCAGATAAAGCAAATTGTCGATCTCTCTTCTGGGGATTTGACGCAGACCAGAGCGATTGCTTGTGAAATGGCGTCGTCCTTTGCACCTGAAGCAGCCGGCCTCTGCTTTTTAGGCACATGATTAGCTGGCGAAGTGGCGACAGCATCGGCAGAGCGTTTTTGTATCGTATGGGCCCGGGAGGGTGCGCCCTCTTCTGCATCACAAACGGCAATCACTGCATTGATGGCAGCAATTCTTCGCTCATACTCTTTCTCAGTAGTTGCACCTGGCATGGTCAGGACCGTGTCGATAAGCGTCATATGTTGTGGTGTCATATAGCCAGTACTTTCTAGCGCAACCTTAACCTCTGCGTCAACCATTTTCCCTGACAGCTGCCGTTCGCTGTCGATCACCGGCTGTTCATTCTTGTAACGTTCCAGGTTCTCACGAATCAAGCGATGACGTTGTCGACTTTTCTCATTGCGTACTTGCTTCACTGAGCGGTCATACAGCTTCTCGGCGTGAACATATTTCTTTTGAAGCGTCTCCGCATTCTTCTTCCGAAACTTCCACCGCTTACGGATCGCTCGAAAGTAAGGGCCCTTCTGTGGTGGTCCATCGCCAAACTCCCGCTCCAGTGCAACTTGAGCTTCTTCGTAGGTGCACTTTTTCTCGTTGCGATTCCGCATTTTCGCCTCTTTCTTGCTTTCCAGGACACGTACACAGGGAAGATCATTGATGCAGCTCGAATCGTCCAGTCGCCAGGGTCTGCGGGGATCAATAGACCGACTCATAGACGAGGCAAACCGCATCAGTTGCTTCTGAGCGGGCATGCCTCGCACAATTGCCTGAGTATCTACGTGAATACCCACGCTGTAATGCCGAACAAAAGTATCGATGCTAGCGTGTTGCAGCATCACGTTCTGCAACTCATTCGTTACATCCGCTGAATGTCGGATTAGCAGAAAGAATCATAATATTTGGTGTATCACTCACGACTATCGTTAAACGCTTTTGCTGCACCGTATCGGAGGCAGTACGGCTTTGCGACTTCAGCGAATCCCGTTATCTCACCACCCCGTTTCATGCGGTAGCTCAGCCAGCCCCGCGTAAGTTGCTGATCAAGTGCGATTCTAATCCCATCGGGTTCCCGCAATGCTTGGCAGAACACATAGCTATCAAGAATTTCGTCTTTCAGCTTTAACTCCTGCTGACCAAGTCCATCTAAGATACCAAGACTGTATAATTTCTCGGCGGAGTCCAACGTGGGCCCATTTGTAGAAAGAGTTTTGAATGCCTTGATCTTCAAGAGCATACCCAGCAAAAATATATGTGGACTCAGGACCAATGTAGGATCGAAGATAATTTCCGGGAGTGGGAAGGTGTTTCTATTAATGATCATAAGCAGACTGGTGTGAGGATAACTTATAGGAGCTGGCCTCGTATGCAAATGGGAACCGAGGATGCGATGGGGCCAGGAGGCCGCTGAGGAAAAGTAAGAGAGAGGGGGAAGCAGGGTAGGGAAGCATAAAGGTAGACTAGGATAGAAATCACTTACGACTCCTTCTCTCCTAGAAATGATTTTGTGAACTCAGGTGTAAGATAAATGAAAAGTCGAGGGCGGCTTCCATTTGGATCCCGAATCAGTGTTAACATCAGGTCTCGAAAGCGTAGTCTCAGTAGCGCCCCGGGGCGACTACCAGTGATAGCTGCCAGCTGACAGAAAAGAAGTAGTTGTACCCGGTACCACCCACAAGGAAAAGTCATCTCTGTCGTGCATAGGATCACTCGGGCGAACTCAGCCACGTCTTCGATATACATTGTCGCTTTCGGGCGAGGCTTTAGAGAAAGTTTCTCCTCCTTCGCGACTATTGCCAACACCTACAGAAAATTAGCCGGGCATAATTTGCATAGAGGTCAATGGTCAATTCGGGATCTCACATCGCGGATTTTGACCTGGATATCTCCGCTAAGGCCATGTCCAACCTTGGCCTTGTAAATGAGATGCCACCACTTCCAGAATGCGTCTAAGGAGCTTTTGGTTTTCAGCCCTGGGGCATAGCGTCCTTTTTTCCCTCGTCGCTGTCTGCAACGCCAGGAGAAGAGCGCCTTCAGGAAGCGGACCGTTTCTTCTGTATCAGAGAGTCGAGACAAACATTCCACCGGGTCTATTTTCGCGCCTTTACAGAACCTAGAACAATTAGGATCTGAGAGCTGTGAGCAGGTGAGCAATGTCTTACTTTTCCCAATAATCTCGAGTTTCATCCAATCTCTCTTCAGTTTTCGGACTATATCGTTTCTGCCGAAGCTGAGAAACGTCCAGGGACTCCGCCTCTTTAAGAAAATATTCTGGTGAGAGTTCCTCTTCGACTTCAGTCTCATCCTCGGATTCATATTCTGCTTCGCTGTCGGAATCGGAATCACTTAGCGCGCTGTCGGTGTCGGTGTCGACGTCAGAAGCGTTGGTCGAGAAGATCGCGGGAATGTCGTCAGAGCTAACATCGCTCTCATTGTCGGACAGAGTGCAACTGGGAGGAGGCATGGCGATCCAGTGCTACGGGTCAAGGAAGGAGAGCAAGGTAGAAATACAAAGTAAAAGAAAATGGTGATAGACGATGCTGAAACTCTTGTCATTGAAGTCTCTCGTGTCCCGAGATCGACCCAAGGGTTGTGAGACTGCTGGGGAAAAAAGATCGATCGAGGGCCATGGCAGTCGATACTTATAGGCGAAGTATTCCAGGGAAGGGACGGTTCCCATTAAAGGAGCCATGGTTGGCAATTCAGTCCGCCAGGAGGGCGACAGCGTAGGAGCGAGGATAGGGCCCTGCGGCCGCCACTGTACGAATGGACATCTGGAACGGTGGATCCAGGCACCAGGCACGGCGGGCATGCAGCGCGGGTGGCAGTAGGCCTGCGGCCGTGGGCTTTATTTCACGTGATCCTCGGTGAGCAAGCGGCCTAAAACGGCGCCCAAAGCAGCCGTTTCTGGCCTCCCATTCACCGTCTCATGCATATTTGTAGTTAAGTTTGAAATAATAGTAAAAGAAGATCTTATATTCTATATAGGCTTTTAATTAGCCAGCTTTTAATAGCCAAAAGAGAAAGTTAGTAAATAAGAAAGGTATACCCAAAGTAGAAGTCTTATAGAGAAGGAAGGCACAACCCAGAACAGGAGAGAAGATACCTTATAAACTAGGCCAGGCTATATCTTTCCGCCAAAAGATAATCTCCTAGGCAGTAGCGGTAGCAAGAGATATCTATATAGCGACAGTAATACCAGTAATCCTGGTAGTTATTAGACAGAGACCAAAAAGAAAGCCTTATATATAGGAAGTATACCAACCAGAGATATATTTATCTAAAAGGTAATA